GAGGGAGAAGGCAAAGAATGTAATAGAGCTGGGTCCAGGACCACCAGAGTCTGCCTCCTTGGGGGCACTGGGAAGGGACAGAAGGCTCAAGCGCTCTTCAGGGAACCCAGCCCACTGCATCTCCTCCTATCTCTGGGCCACTTTCCTCTTCTGTCCAAGGGCCCTGATCTCCTGATGGTGTCAGGTGTGGGTGGGGGAGGACGATAAATCTCGCCTGTTCCAAATACACTGGACCCCAACCGCGGGGTTGGCAGAGGACCAGACCAAGGAATGGCTCGGAGTTGTCTCTGTTCACAATACAGGAAAGGGCTGCAATTATGGCATCAAGATCTTCCCTGAACATCAATAAGGGGCGCATGGGTATCACAGGCTGCCAGGAACCCAAAACATAGAACAGGGCACAGAGTTTCAGAATTGAGGGACAAGTGGAAGGTAGAGGGACACAGGATAGGAAATAATGGTGTAAAGATAGAGACAAAGTGCAAACAAGGCCCACCTGTATGAGTAGAAGAGAACATCGATGAGGATGGTAGCAATGGCTGGCAGTGTCTCAGGGTCCAGTGTAAGGACACAGAAGCGGTTCTGTGGGCTCTGGATGGGATGCACAGTGGGGCTGGGCCCTGCTAGGGGGGACCAAGCAGCAGCAGGTGTTAAGGGACTGTGGGCTGGGGTGCCCCCTGGTGGCCAGATAGGGAGGGGCCTGGGTGGGGTTAGGGTCATGCTCTATAGGAACACACCTCTTTTCTCCACATCTCCCTGTCTCCTGATGCAGTCAGTATCAGCTGCTATCCCCATGCCCACAGACCAATCCTCACAAGGGAAGGGCCCCAGTGGGAAGAGGAGGCCCTGTGTAGGTCTGGGTATCAGAGGGTAGCCTCACCATGCTGAGAACGGGGAAAGCCATTGCTGGAATCATCCCTGGCAACAGGCACAGGCTCCCCACCCACTTCTCGGTAAATGTCGAACTCCTGGGATAGTGTGTGTATCACCACAGACAGGTCCTGTTCCCGTACCTGGACCACAGGGAGATGACATATCACATGAGCCCCCAGGCACCAATACCCACCCTGTCCTGCACTGGAGCCTGCAGAAAACTCACCAGGATGAAGTCCGTCTGGTAAGTGGACAGCATCAGCACAGACACATGGTGCTCGGCCAGTGGTGCAATGACTGAGCGAGCGATTTTGGTGACCCCAGCAGCCTGCACTGCTGCACCACTGTGGGATGAAACGTTCAGCACCAGCCATGTGGCCTCAGCCACTTGAAGGAACTCAGATGGGGGTAGTTCTGTGAGCAGGAAGTATACACCATGTCAGAACCCGCTGGACTGTCCCCTGCCCCTCAGTTTCCCTGTCTACGGTTTGGCAGAGGCAGGGAGGGGAGGGGTGGCAAGCGCTCTACCAAGGTAAAAGCAGGTCTGGAGACTAGGGCTGTCTCTCTCTCCCAAGTTCTGCTCCTGAGAATTGCATGTTTGTAAGGACTAAGAAGTGCTTCAGGTGCTGGCCTGCCAGGGATCGAAACTTCCCAGTTAAGACTGGAGCTCCAACTTTAGACAGACCTGGGTTCAAATCCCAACTTCACTATTTACTTGCTGTTGACCTGGGGCAAATGATTTAACTTCTCTGAATCTCAGTTTCATCTGTAAAATGGGATAACAGCATTATACCTCATGATAGCTTCTTTGGGTTAGCAGAGGTTTTATACCACATGGCACCACCAGAGGGCACCAGCAGATCAGGTTGGCAGGGGGATGCCCTTCTCCCTTAGCCCACCCAGACTTTCCCCCAGTACAAACGGTAAACTAAGGCCTGGAGGGGCCCAGCAGATGGGCCAAGCCTCAGTTTCATGGCCTGAGACTCCAGGCTTGTGAGGAAGGGTCAGGCTGGAAGGAGTAGGAGCCAGATGTCAGCTCCAGAGACCAGGGAGGGAGGAACCAGGCTGGTGTCCAGTCTGGAGCAGGAGCTGGGGCAGGGTGTCTACTAATCTCCCAGTCGCAGCCAGGAGGCCCCCCAGGACCCTGCTCTGGACTGGCTGCCTGCTCCTGCATTCCTTTCCCAGCCCTCAGACTCCTGGAGTACCCAGACCGGTCAGGGAAGCGGTGATCCCTAACCATCAGGGAGATTAAGTCTAGCAAGGAAATAATGGCCAGGGGAATCTAAAGGCCTTAGGAACCCCCGATTCTTACCCTGAACTGTAACTGAGACCCTGCTACTGCCCTGAGAACGCCAAGTACCCTTCGAAGCCCCGTCTATAAAGTTTTCATGGAACCTTATTAGGCCAGAACCATAACTATACCCATTTTACATAAGAGGAAACAAACAGCTCAGAGAGAGGAAGTGACTTGCTCAAGGGCACACAGCCAGTAAGTGGCGGGAGTTGAATTCGCACCCAGATCTTGGGACTCTGGATTCCAGCATCTAGTGAGAATCCCACAAAGAGGGGAGCACAACAGCCTTCCCCAGCCCAGCCCCCAACCTTTGAAGCCCTCCTCGTCCACCATGAGCGTGTAATCCTCGGGGGTCTCCGTCAGGCTGAAGAACTTGCACCTGGATGGGGGGGAGGGGGTGGCATCTTCAGCCTGGGTTGGGCGGAGGGGACGAGCAGACTCGCTTCAAGCTCCCGGAAAGACCCCTGCTGGGCGCCTCCCTGCCCCCCCCCTCAAGCCTCAATTTTCTTCCCCCCGCCAATGGGGTGTGTGCCTTATCACTGGAATCACAAACTGTTTTTCGCCTCCCGACCTCCGCAGGAGCTCCGGACCCTCCGTTCGGGAAGGGGAGGCTCACCCGCGGCGACAGCCCCAGGAGCGTCGGACTTTGGGCCCCCTAGACTGGTCCCTCTGACCCGACAGAGGCATCTGGAAGAATCTCCGGGTAGTCGCCAGGAAGGAACTGCCTCCATATGACACCACTCGGGAGTTAAGTATTGCCCATCCCCGGCTGTTTGCGCCTTAACTGGCCCTGGGAGGGAGCCTCTTGGGGCCGGATAGGCGGCGGTCCCAGAGAGGTAGGCCCAAGCCGGATGGCGGCCGGGATTGGGGGGGTGGGTAGGGAAGAAAAGGGCCCTCCCCGCCCTCTCCCGCTGGCCCCACAGCGATGTTAATTTCCCAACCGCGTCCCGGAGCAACAGCGGAGCCCACCCCCATATGTGCCCCCGAACCCGGGCGCGCACCGGCTGCGGCGGGGTAGGAAGAGTAGCTTGATCAGCGGGTGGGTGTAGAGCCGGAGACCTGGGCGGGCGAGGCTCAGCACCCGCACCCGGTGCTCTAGGATGTGCAGCTCCATCACTGTCCGCGCAGACCCGACCCCGTCGCCAACCAGACCCTGATCGCCGCGGGGGGCGGGGCGGTGGGGGCGGGGCCGGGGGCTTAAAGGAGCCGCTCTGCGGCCGCGTCCATGCCGCGGGCTACGCCGCGGATCTTCCTAGCTCCATGCCAAGTCCAGCTCCCTGAAGACCACGCCCTGAGGAATGAGCGGCCTATCTGAAGTGGCCTCGCCTCCTTTTTGAGGCCAGAGCCTCATCCCTCGTGTTCCAGCCCGCCGAGCCCCGCCCCTAATGACTCCGCCCCTTTAGTTTTGGCTAGGGATTTTAGGCTGATCCCACCCCATTGAGTCCTCCAGGCCCCGCCCATGCCGCGCCCCCTCAGCTGGCTTTTCCGCCGGCAGCTTGCCTTGCTGGGTAGGGATCATGGGGGAGATGTGGAACGGTTTTTGTTGTTCGGGTCTCCATAAGGGTCTTATGATTGATATCTTTGAGGCTCCAAAGAGCCGCGAAGCGAACCAGGGCTCAGCTGGGACCAGAATATCGCCTCCAAACCTCTGGAGCACGGAATGGTAGGGGTATGCAGTAAAGCCCTGGTGACCCTGTGATTCTCTCCGACCAGTGTCCTACTGCCTTTCTCTCTCTTCCTTACTGTGGAAGAAGGCACTTACTCAGGGAGGTCACAGAGATAGGGAGGGCCCCAGCCACTTATGTCTGAGCAACATACTGTGGGGTAGGGTAATGAAGGTGGCCAGACTTATTACGGCTTGAGACCCCTCAAGACTAAGTGCTTGGGCCAGGGATGCCTTAGGCTCAGACTTCAAGAGACATGCCCATGCATCTGAGACTCATGGGTACTCAGATCTCAGACTTGAGACTTGATCCCTGTTGAGGCCTCCCAAAGCCTCAGCCAATAGCAGGACCCAGTTGGCGTAAGCACATGTGAACTTGCTTTACGCCCACAGAGGCCCTCAGCACTGGCAGATGCCCCAGATCTGAGGCCTGTTAGGACCAACTTGGGCTCGTTTCAACATTAGAATGGGTTCTGCTCAGGCCGCCTCAGGTCTAAGACTTAAAGGTTAAGCAAGCATCAGCATACCTAGGCTGGCCCTGTAGCAAGACAGAAAGAGCATGTTCTGGGGGACCCTTGTCTGGCCCAAGCATCCTCACGCCTCAGATCTGAGGCTTTGAACCAAACAGGTTAAAGCAGGCCTCAGGCCTGACTGACACCCAGCAGGTCTACACAAGCCTCCTGCCTGCTCAGGAGCCTCTAATGTATGTGGGATGGAACCTGGGCAGCAACCTCCCTCTCTGGGCTCTCTGGCTCAGGGGGTTCCTGTGGATCACCGCAGCTGCCACATCCTGGCCTGTTCCCTGGAGAGACATGCGGAGAGGAGTCCTCAAAACCCCTCATGGCAGGTACAGATGGGGTGGGAAGCCACAGGGTGAGGGATGGGAGGCAGGAAGTGGGTAGCCTGCCCTGAGAGACTCAGAGGACACTTGACCTCCCTAGGCCTCAGTATCCCCAGCTGTACCAGGACAAGATGTTCCAGGCCCAGGCCCTGTGATGCCTGAAAGCTCCTAGGAAGGCCCTACTCCTCCCTCTCCCACCCCCTCCCACAATGGCCCAGCCCAGCCCAGCTTGGTAGCCTGCCAGGAACAGCCGCTATTGTTTGACTGGAAAAGCTGCTTCCTCAGCAGAAGGGGGGCCCTTTCCCAGGGACACCCTGTCCTTACCCTGTCATCGGGTTGTGACCGTAGCGCCTGCCTTGGCCCTCAATGGCATTACCAGGTCACCAGGAACCCTGCTCAGGAGAGGTAGCTGAGGGACTCTAGGTGCAAATCAACCAGCTTCATCTTTCCCACTCAGCTCCTCTGTTTGCTCATCTGTAAAATGGGGATAATAATAGAGCCTACCTGATCAGCAGGTGATATAACCAGCCCAGCCTGGCAAATGCTAAGTGCTCAGGAAACAGGCAACCTTTTATCAAATACCCAAACTTCTCCCCTCACCCCTCTACCTCCAATGGAGGCCTGGACTTAGCACGTAAGGGCATTCATGGTCCCCCACCGCTGGCACCAGCACTCAACCCAAAATGAACACTCAGACCCTTACTGGGGTCTGAAGTGGTATCCATGTCAGGCTTTGGTGGAGGAAGGTCCTGAAAAGACCTTCTTAAGGAGTCCCTCTCCCTCAGAGGTGGGTAGGCATCAAGGCCTGGGAAGCAGGCCATGCAATGCTCCAGCACTGGGCTCTAGCTCAGGTGACCCTCATCCATGGCAACTGGTGGACATGGAGCAGAGGGGATGGGGTGAGATAAAGTGGGAGCCAGGAACAGGACTGGCCCTGGACTTGGCAACCCCAATGGCCAAAGCATTTCTAGAAAGGCCCTCATGCTGGGCTGGGGCAAGGATGGGAGGCTCTATAGGGCACAGGGGAGATGCTGAGCACCAAAGGTGGCTCTCCTTCCCAGTCCCTAGCTGCACAGCAACTCTCTACACAAGCCTATTTATTTCTGTACAAAACCATTTTTCTATTTTACACAAAAAGCACCCCACCCTTTACCCCACCCTCTCTCCTCACATCAGCACCCTACCTCTGCGGAGCATCCCCCCAGGAGGAGGGTGCTGAGTGAGGCCCCACCCATGGGCCCTCATTTCTGCCTGTCCCAGCTGGGCTGGCCCAAGCTCCACTCTGGAGAAAATAAATAAGGAGGCTCAGGCAGAATCTGTGCTGGGCCAGCCAGACTCTCTGCCACCCAGTGGCCAGGCAGCTGGGTCCTCAGTGCGTGGGCAGGCCCTCGAATGTCAGTTCATGAACCGTGTAGGTATGTGAAGACCCCACACCACAGGCCTGAGATGCCAGAGTTACAAGTAGGTGTCCTCACTCTCCTGGGACGTCAGGCTCTCCTGGGAATGGTGGTGGGCTGAATCCTGGGGAGGTGAGTCCTGCAGAGCTGGGTCCTGGTGGGCTGGATCCTTTGGGGGCACATCCTGTGGGGGACATGCATCTCTTGCAGCGGCTGCCACCTTGGCTTGACTTGGGGTTGGGGGCTTGTCCAGCTGCCCACTTGCCTTTGCCTGCTTCCACTGCTCCTTCTCCTTCTGGCTCTGTTTGGATGGCTTGGGCTTGCCTTTGGAGCCAGGGAGGGGGGCATTTGGGGGCAGGCGGATGGATGGTGAGGGTTGCAGTGTGGGCCGGGGGCCTGGCTCCGCCTCCAGGATGGCCTTGGCACCATGCAGCCTGGGTGGGGAGCAGCACTGCAGCTCACCCCGGGTCTCTTGCCAGCGCCGCAGCTGAATGAGGTGCTCACGTTCAATCTGGCGCTCTGTCACTGGCAACTCAACCACCTGTGTGAGTGGTGATGGGCAGATGAGAACAAGAAGAAACTTCCCCTCTGCCTCTCAGACTGGTGTCTGCTCTCTCTCAGTGTCCCCTAGCCCTGGTCACTAATGGTTGACCCTACAAATGATCGGGATCTGGTCCCTGTGCTGATCACAAGTCTCAGAGCTGAGTGGCAGGTGAGTCAGGCACTTGGGACCCATTGCCTGAAAGGAAAAAGCTGCCCACAACTCATGAGTCCACTTGCCCAACAATGTGCCACCCTGAGAGACAAAATTCCACAAAAGAAAGAAAAAAGGGAAAATAAAGCCAAGGACATGGATGTGGTACCATGGAAGAAGAGAAGTGGTGAGTTGTGGCTTCTCTCATTCGTAAGTGGTTCAGAACTTGGAAGGCCCTGTAAACCTAGGCTTCTCTGTGCCCCTATCTTCTCATTGAGACAGAAGGATAAGGTCTACACATACCATCCTAAGCTGCTGAGCACCAGGCCTGACACCAGTGACCTACCTTAAGAGGCAGAGCTGCCAGACCCCTTCCAAAGGACCCCCACATTTCCCACTCCCACCCAGGGGTGAAGGGAGAGTGTGGGCCATACCTCCTGGACCAGGAAGGCCTCCTGCATGATCTTGGGGCTAAGGCTCCGCAGCTGCTCGATAGTTTCGTACTGGCCCTGGCAGGCTTTCAGCTTTTCAGGAGAGCCCAATGCATGTTTCAGCAGCACCAGCCCCACCCGGAAGATGATCTTGACTCCTGCATGAGGGGGTCATAAGAGGGCCTGTAAGGAATTTCTCTGGAAAAAGAGGCCCCCTTCGGCTGGGTTAGAAACAAGAGTGCTCCCCTGAACCTGACCCAGTACCTTCGCAAAAGAACATATCCCAGACGCGCAACACAGAGCTCCAGGGCAGGGTGCGGGCAAAGGCACACATGAACCACTCTGTCATATAAAGCAGCGGGTCGATCTTCTGCCTGCTAAGGTGCTTGTGGGCCACGGGTGACACCTTCTGCAGCAGTGAGAAGAGGATCTCCCCATCCAGTTGGATCGCCTCCTGGGGATGCAGCAAAGTCACAGGGCCAGGAATGTAGGCTCACAGCAGGCAAGACAGAGACTATGTCCTGGCTCCCAGTACCAGGCAGGCATTAATTTATCTTTCAGGCAGCTACTGCCTGTAGGGAGCCGACCTTGTATTGGGTGCTGGGATACAATGAAGAGCAAACCAGACATAGTTGGTCCCCTTCATGGAGCATGTAGTAAAAAGAGGAAGACAGATGAATTACAGGAGCAAAGAGACTGGAAGCAGGGCAGAGAGGGTGGCTAAGTGTCCAGAATATGGCAGGACCAGGAATGCTAGATTAGCATGTGCCAGAGATCCCACCTGTCAGGGTCAGAAAGCTCCCTGAGGGCTGAATACTGAAGGAAAACAGGGGTTATTAAGGGAAGGAAGGGGGTAGAGGCTTTTAAGCCTATGCAAACGCTGAGGCAGGGAAGAACTTGGTGCACTGGCAGAACTGAGATCCTGCTGAGCAGCCAGACGGTTAGAAGCAGAGATGGACGGCAGGGTGGAACCAAAGAGTTGGATCCTAGAAGACGTGACCAGACCAGAAGTCTGGGAAGTTTTAAGCTAGGGCAAGAGTGGCTGTGGTGAGAAAGGCCTGGAGAGGCCACAAAGGGCAGGTCCCAGGCCAGGTCTCCATTCACCACGCACTCACCAGTTTCTCACTGTAGTAGCCAGGCAGGTACTTCTCACAGATCTGCACCAGGCACCAGAAGGCTTGCTGTGGGCAAGAGAGATAGGATGTCTTGCTGCTGGGTATTCCCTGCCCACCCCCTGACCCACCCAGGGCCTGGTGGTACCTCAGCAGGCATGTGCATGAGCAGAACAGCAGCAATGGGTGCCTGGGCCTGGCAGTATCCCTCCTCAGGTCGGTATAGGGTGTAGGCCTTCAGCACACGGAATAGGTCCTGCTGGCTGTGGAAGGACCAAGTGGGGCAGGAAAGATAGGTGTGACTGTGCCATTTACTATCCTCACCTGTGCTGTACCAGACCAGACCTGTCTCAGAATTTTCTCTTCTCTGGTGACCTGACTGTGGTCAGCAAAGGGTCAGTCTCCTGCTGTAGCACACAGACTCTAACAAGACCAGGGGAGGGAGGCAGAGAGGACACCTCCCCGCCCAAATTTGAAACGTGAGGACAGAGGCTTAAAGAGAAAGCAGAGGCAGAGCTTGGGATACCAAATACAAAGTAACGGTGTGTGTCAGGGCTGAAAGTGTGGGGCTCTGACTCAGCAGCTGTGTCCCCCTGGCCAGGTCAGCTTTGTCCGAGGTGTCTGTCTTGGCCCTTTGGCCTGGCCTGCCTATGTTTCCCTTCCTACATACCCTCTGAACACCCAATTATCTCTAACACTCTTTCTTACCACTAAAACCTATTTCTAGAAGAGGACCAGACAAGCTCTAGCACTCTGGAGAGTAAATGAAAGTTGGCCCAGAAGACCCATCAGATTCAAACCAAAGGGAAACTCTAATAGTGGAGTTTGGGGCTGCCAGCTTCTGGGCCCCTGAGATACACTCAAACTCATTTTACCTCTTCTGTGCCCTGAGGAACAGGGCCCAGAGCCACCTCCAGTGTACAAGACCCAGCCTACTCACCCATGGCCTCCCCGGGACACAAACATCTCATGGAAAGGGAATTGCCGGTGCAGGTCACGCTCAATCACATCTAGCCACTTGGGGTCCCCAGGAGACATGTCCAGCTCCTAGAAACAAGGTCAAGAGCATGCATTAGGAGTTAGGAATGGCTGCTGGGAAGATACACCTGTCATGGGTACTGGAAGAGCCCCCTGCCAGGAGTAATGTCCACTCAATCCTATCATAAACTGGGCCTTCCTGAGGGCAAGTCAGGAAGCTCAGGTAAGGAAGCCTGGGCAGAGGCAAAGAGGCAAGGAGGGAGGGCCCTAGAAACCCTGAGGGGTGATCCAGGAAGACCCATGTGGTCAAAGTGTCTGTCATAGCTGTGGCTAGAAATAACCCCTAGACACTTTATTCAGGACTCACTCAAATACCTTATGTCACATCCTTAAGACAGAAGGCTACTATCAATGCAATAGCTACCACCTGTTAGCACTGCTCTGAGCCACCCATGGGCCTCACTGACTCTTTTCCTCAACACCAAAAGAGAAGTCAGACTATTATACTGTTTACAGATGAGGAAACGGAAGGTCAAAGAAAAGTCACTTGTCCAAGTCCTCATGGTTAGAAAAATGGTGGAGCTGGGCCTGGAAGCCAGGTTGACTCAGAGCCATTGATCCCAACTCCTCTGCTATCTGTCTCCCTGTGCAAGTGACATCACCTATTCAGGAAAAGGTGTTTATGTGTGAGAGAGAGAGTGAGTGAGAGAGAGAAAGAGAGGGAAAGATCTGCACAAAGTGTTATGTGGAAGGATATGACATTTGTCAAACCATTAAACTCAAAGCCATCTCTGGGTACTAGGGTTTCAATAACAGTTTTACTGTTTTATTTGAGCTTCTGTGAACATTTTTTCATGAGTATCATTTTAAAAAACAAAGTATTACACAAAGAAAAATCATTTCCTCATCATCTGAAATGTCCTATATTGTGATTTGCTTGTTAGTTACATGCATAAGTATTATTTGTCAAAACTCACTGAACTGCACACTTAAGATCTGTGCATTTTACCCTCTGTAAATTCATACCCTAACATGAAAAACATCAATAAAAAGAAAACCTGGAGGGCTGAGCAGGGAAGCAGATTAAGTACATGTTGCCTGTGGGGCTGGGGCAGAATTATGGAAGGTCCCTGGGATGAGGGCCAGGTTCTCAGCAAACATACCAGTGGGCATAGACCCAGGCCTTGGCCTTGACTGGCAGGTGTCTTCATACAAGGTCCTTTCTCTCCTGTGCCCCCTTAGTGGGGGTGTCCCAATATTAAGCTAAAAACCCTAGGGTGCCACATAACTTGACATGAGAGAGTATTGAGAGAAAAAACTGATGGATTGTCAAGGCTGGAGGGTGGAGGGAAGGGCCGGGGGCCTCCACAGAGGGCCCTTGAGTAGGCACATGGTGAAGAAGTGAGTATGCAACCTCTAGAGTCCCACATATTCTCAAGATGGGGGTCTGTGCATGTGCTATGAACTTCTCAAGTCAAGCCCAGGGCTGGATACTGTCTGAGCACAATGTAGGATTGCTTTTGTTAGAAAGGGCAGGAGGATCCCACAAATTCTCCTGAGGGCTCTGGTAAGGTAGGGACCCAAGACTCCAAGAAGTCAGTTCCCAGGATGTACTTGCCTGGCACCCCAGCAGCCCAAGACACTTGACCACACAGGGGTGGGTGAGAAAGAAAAAGGTGTAGCTGAAGGGCCTATGGGGAGAAAGGGCTCTGGGAATCAAAGGCAGGTGTGAGCTGCTGGCAGCTGAAGGTTGTGCCTGGAGCCTGGAGGTGCTGGCACCATCATGAGGTGAAGCCAGAGAAGAAAACCAGGTAAAGAAAGGAGAGAAGGTCTTGCCCTGCTCAATGAAGGAAGAAGTGTGGGAGAAGACAGAACCATGAGAGGCTGCAGAACCTGCTCTGACAGCTGAAGTTGGGGTCAACCACCTGGGTCTTCAGGGGAGCACAGGAATAGGTGCTGTTATGTGCTGCCACCAATAGCCTGTCACTGTACCCTTGCCTCCGGCTGTCTTGTCCACAGCAGCCAGAGGGAGCTTCTCATCCTTGCTCACTTCCTCCACGTTATCCATAGGCAAAGTCCTTCTAGATGTGCTCGAAAGCTACCGTTCCAGCCCCTAGGACTGCCTTGGGGACCCACCACTCAGCTTCAAAGTATCTAGAAGGCCTTTCTTGGAATTTCCCACAAGCAACCCTCAAGACTCCACAGAAGTGGCTGATTCTTCTCTGGACACACTACTCCCCACACACAAAATGCCCACACATGCTCCACATTCTGCTGTTCTGTGCTCACATTTGCTAACTATGGAACCAAGAGTCTGGCCAGGCCCACTAATCTCTTGGCTCCTATGCCTGTGCTCTGGCAGCCAGAGGTAAACTTGGGTGAGGTTCCCACCACTGAGTTTCTCCCTCCATCCAAGATGCAGCCTCCTAAAATGTAAGGGATGAGAAGAAGACACTGGGAGGAAGACTCTGGAGTCAAGAGGCTGCTCTAGTAGGAGCTGGTATTGATGCTCGGTGGGACAGTCCAATCACCCTGATTCTGGCCCACAGCCAGACACTCCACCAAATCCCCCAACCCCAGGGCCAAGTACTGTTAGCAAAAGGCTCTCACCCTCTTTAGGTCAACAGCAGAAACTCTAGGCTGCCCTGCCCCGCCCACTCTTCTTAGGGAACAGGTTTGGCAAAACAGGAGTGTTTGCTGAACCATGAAGTATGTCAACAAAAAGCTGGTAGCTGGCAGCTCTTTCTCACTGCCTGTCACCAGTCCCAAAAGGTTGGGAGAAACCCTGATGCCTAGGGTCAGGTCTAGGAAGTAAGCAGGGGCAACCCCAGGGGAGCCAAGTGCCTCCCACAGGGGAGCATGCTGGAGGAGCTGCCTCGCCCAGGTGGGGTGACTGAAGGGGTGTTCTTACTCTGGCAGCCAGGGGTAGGGAGCAGCAGGTAGGGAGGGGAAGGCATGCCTGCAGAGAACACCCTCTCTGGCCACTGACTAGTTTCTAACCCTTAAGGATACTGGTTTGGCTCTGCCACCCCTAAGGCTGACAGCTCCAGAGGCAGGAGAAAAGGGTTGAGGATGGGAGGCTAAGAGTTACTCAAGGTCCTGTAGCCTTGAAGGCAGGCCCCCAAAGGCCCAGAGCACAGAACCCAAGGCAATCAGGGAAAGTGGTCTGAGTATCCCCTCCTGACAACCAAGAGCTGGGAGGTGGCCTGCTGACCCCAAGAAAGCAAAACTGGGTGGTTGGCAGGAGAAAGAGCTGGAATGGAGGATGGGAAATCTGTCCATCCCACTGAAGTCTGTACAGCTGGAGCTTCAGATGGGCAGAGCCCACAGGAGTCACAGGTTGAATAGGCCTGGCCAGTGGGGCAATTTATGGGTGGTCCTATTAATCAGCTCGTATTGCTGAGGTCCAAGTGAGTACACGGAGAACTTTTGCCATGGGTAGGGCATCAAGAGATGTGGCAGGGAGGGTAGGGTGAAGGAAGGGCCACTCACGTCAAACTTTCCAGGATTCTGCTGTAGCTTCACCTTGCCTCCTGACAAGTACTGCCAAGCACGGCCCCGCAGAGAAGGTGGGATGCCCTTCTGGCACCGCAGACGGATCTGAAAGTTAAAAGGACTGTGCTCATGCATCCACCCAGGCCGTTCCTCCAGAGGCTGTGTGCCAGCCCAGCTCCACTATTGGTGTTTGAAGGGCCTTTAGTTAGCACACTGGGCAAACAGTATAGTGGAAAAAATAGGACTCCCTTCCTGTTGCTACTGTTGCTACAATGCATAGTTTAAGATGCTGGGGGTGGAGAGGAGGATGACAAGTAATGACTTACTTAGATATGCTGCTACCAGGTGATGGCAGTCTCCATGTCCCCTGGTCCAGTGATAACACAGATATTCCTGAGGTCTACCACATAATTCTGAATCCCCACGACCATACTCTGGATGAAAATGGAACCATTCAAGTTGGAGGAGCCCCACGGGATATCACTAAGGAGGAATCTGCATGGTGTGGGGCACAGCTGCAGCTATAGGAAAGGGTAGTTTATGAGATGACCCAGAATGTGCCCAGAGACATGGCCTGGGCAGGCCCAGGGCAGAGGCAGCTTTCCTGGCTGTGAGTTCTGATTCCAACTCTTCCTACAATGGCATGGGTCTTTCCTACCACTCATAGACTGGGAGAGGTGAGGGAGAAAGTATTTGGGGGTAGCTTATGACCCAGAGCTATGCTCAATTGTTATGCTTGCTGTCTTTATCAGAAAAAGGCTTCCACTATCAAAATCCAGTTTGAAAAATCATCATGTCTTCTACAAATGGGAAAACTGAAGACACAGTGGCAAAATATTAAGGTCACACCATGAAGAACCCACTACTTCCTATACCACACAGGTTAGAGGAATCCAGCCCCATGCACTTTCCACTTCACTGGCTTCTCAGAGCTATATGGGAGGTGAGCTCCACCTGGACTTTTGGACAGAATGAGACTGAGGGAAGCTGCCCTAATCATCCTCTTTGACCTCAAGGCCAATGGTCAAGGATGATGAGACCAAAAGCAGAGACACCATTCCTATAAAATGGAGGTGTGGGGTACTGACCAGTGACACTCCCCTCAGCCCCTGAGCTAAGCAGCCTGGCCTGGGATGGTGACGCAAGCTCAAGGCAGTGGGAAAAGCAACTGGATGTGAGTTTGAATCCAGCACCGGATTCTCATTCAATTCTCATCAATAGTTAAAAACAGGATGGTAATACCTAGGATTCTATTAGAAGGGTGGGAAAATGCCAAGCATGGAGCTTGACACACAGTCTCTGTTCAATAAATGCCTTCTTCTCTACCCCTCCAGCCCAGGAAGATGCCTGAGATAGAAACCCCAGGGGCTCCTGCTCACACCTAACTTTCTCTCACCTGGAAACCCCCTCAAATAGTCCCATTGGAATCTCTCAGAGGAGCACAGAAGGCCTAGCCTTCCTGATGACAAGCACAAACAAGAAAAAACTTTCCAAAGGTCAGAGAGTGTCAAGAACCAGGAAGGAGACAGGCAGACAGGCAGGAGGCAGTGGGGGAAGAGCGAAACAGCTGGTCATGGGAGCTAAGCTGGAGCTCTGGGACTGCCTGCAAAGGCGGGTAAGGAAGGGAGCAGAAGGGAACTGCCCCAGACTCTGGGAATAATGACTTCCTGCTGCTGTGGGATGAGGGTCTCCTTAAGGAGGCCACTTGGTCTGAAAAGGCTTTGGCAAAGGGATATAGTATGGCCTAGAGCCACAGGCCCTTTGGGCTCTCCCCAAGGCCAAGCTTAGCCTGACTGAGGCAGCCCCCACATCATCACAGCCCCCATAGTTGGCCTGCCACAGGGGAGCCCAGGAATACCTTCAGTCCATTAAGGTTCTCAAAAAGGCCCTGCCCTCACTCAGGACAGAGCCGGGGAGGTGGGTGTAGAGAACCAAAAGTTCAGCCAGCTTTTCCCACTCTGGCCTCTGGAATTCTCCTCAGCACAGAGGTGCTAAGGGAAGGCAATTTCTACCTGTCAGCCTTAGAGAGGAGGCAATGGTGGGGATCAGAAAAGATAAAGCAGGAGAAAGTCCTCAGCAAACAGAAAGCATAAGGGATATTATTCTCTGATGACAGCTGACGCCACACCCTGCCAGCTTAAGTCTGGGAGGGCTCAGCCACAGTTTGAACAGAGCCCTACAGGGAAAGACAGCATTCCAGCCAGAGCCTTGCCTCCCTACAGGGCCTGGACTCCTTCCTGGGGACTCAGAATAAGTCCAAGAGAGGTGTTGGACTTATTTCCTGAAGCAGGTATTGTCCTTCCTGTGCCATGACTTCTTGACCGGGGGAGAGCCCAAGCCTGTGCAGCCAGGGAAGAAGAGATCCTAGGGCCAGTGTGACCATAGCTGAGGTGGCAGGAGCAGAGAGCAGAGGGCTAGGGCCTCTGGGTAGGGTAGGGTACTGCCTCCTGTGGTTGCCCCTGCTGGGAAAGCCTTCTCAGACCAAGTGGCCTCCTTAAGGAGACCCTCATCCCACAACAGCAGAGGCCTCTAACCACAGTGCCAGGGAAGCAAAGGGCAAGAGGAGGTGGTGCTGCCTGCTCTACTGAAAGGATCTCCCCAAGACTCCCTTCTGGAATCCCCCATTTGCAAAGGAGACTGGGGCAAGAAGGATCCACCATCCGCCAGTCACTAGTCACAAGAGACTGGAGAGGGACCAGAGGCTCAGGGTAAGAGCCTGAGGGGTAAGGAGGCAGGAAAATAGACCCAAGAATCCTGCACAACACAGTTGAGAACAGCTATATTTTAAAAAAAAAAATGTTTAAGAGAAATGTTAATAAGCAAAAAACTTATTTCTGTGCTGCAAAGCCTACACAGAACAGCAAGAAAGAGCCTGGGTTAGATGTGCCTCTTCTCCATAGACACAAGGCTTTGTAGTCACCAACTGATGGGAGCCTCCCAACGTGACTGTCATTTCCATTCAACCAGGGTAACTGAGGGTGAAATGGCTCACACAAAGTTGCACAGCTAGCCACAGGCCCAAAGAGGGTAGGGTAGTGGTGCTAGGCCTAAGCCCATATCTGACCTTCAGTCCTGAGCTTTCTGCTTGACCCTGCAACCAGCTATGCCAGCCTGGACCAGACCAGCATGTCAGGTGATAAGAGCGGGACAGCAGACTCACTCTGTGCAGTGGGACCTTACGCAGAGAGACCCTGGCTATGAGGTTCTGACAGGTCTCCGCTAGGCCAGGGAGTAACCAGATCCTGCCCAGGGATCCAAAGGCATCAACACACACATTGTGCTAGGCTAGAATGTTCCTATGGGGCAATAGAACTAGTGTCCAAAGAAAGACCAATTAGAAGAGGATTAAGGGCACTTTCATTTTTATAAGACCATTAAACTGTGAGGTCACTTTTCTTTGGCCAGGAGGCAAGAGGGAACTCATCAAATTCATCTAGAGGGTGGTGATGAAGAATGAAGGCACTAAATGTAGATTGCCTGGGTTCAAATTTTGATTTTGTGGATCATCCATAAAGTGGGGGTACTATTGCTATCAACCTCACTGGAGTGTTATAAGGGACTACTCAAGTTAAGTGTCCAGCATACTGCAAATGTTCAATACATGTTAGCTATTATTAGTATTATAAAGTCTTCCTTGATAGGTAGTAAACAGCAGTAAGAACTTCTCCCAAGAGGGATGGAGGAAAGCTGCCTATAAGGGCTTTTTGGCTAAAAGTGCCTTTGAAGTTTGACTCCAGGACAAAATTCTGCATGACTCTGAAGTCATCTTAGAAGATCAAGACTGGTCCCTGCCTTCCAGCCAGCTTCTGTTCCCTTTTCAGAGCTGGCAGACAGAGACACTTAAGGCTACTGGCAGTTAAGGAAGGCTACTGACAGGGGCGCCTGGGTGGCTTAGTCAGTTAAGCGTCCGACTTTCGCTTAGGTCATGATCTCGCGGTTCGTGGGTTCGAGCCCCGCGTCGGGCTCTGTGCTGGCTGCCAGCTCAGAGCCTGGAGCCTGTTTCAGTCTGTGACTCCCTCTCTCTCTGCCCATCCCCTGCTCACGCTGTCTCTCTCTCCTAGAAATAAATAAAAAATATTAAAAAAAAAAAAAAAAGGAAGGCTACTGGCAGTTGGCTACTGCTCCTCTCTGATACAGTTCCTCCTTCCTTTTCTTCCCCAGGCTACCAACTCCCAGCCCAAGGCCCAAAGCCAGGCCCCTCACCTTTTTGTGTTTCTTGGCCATCCATTTGTCCCAGTTGTTGAGCATATCCAGCCACTTGGATTCCCTCTGCCTCAGCACCTCCAGAGGGATTTCCTCTAGCCTGTGGAGCAAATGGCAGGACCTGTCAGAAGTGCCAAAGGAAGCAAAGGCCCTGGCTTAAGCCCCAGCTACCAGCCTTGTCAGGCCTTCATTCCTACCCATCTTCCATCCCTACTGTTGCCTTCAGGGCTGCTAACTCATGAACACACTTACAAAGATGAGAGGGATTACTGCTTCCTCCCTAGAAGGTTCAGATCAGAGAGGCACCAGGTTAAGTGTCTACTCCCCCAGTGTGTCAAGGGGCCAGGGGTCACTGTGCCTTTCTGGGGACAGAGGTCTGAGAGCCTGCATCTGTGCATCAAAGCAAAGCATTCCTGTCCTGGGTCTGTCTAGATAAATAGCCTCTTAGGAGGCCTGCATGCAAGGTGTAGAGCTGGATGAAAAAAAAAGTCAAACAAGTACAGAAATAACACTCTCACCCCTTCATTCTAGCAAAACTAGTTACTCATAGTTTCCACAATTATGCCCTGGCCCTTTGCTACCTCTCAACCTTGCTCATGCCAGTGCCTTTGCTGGAATGGATTCCAAGTTGTCTCTACACATCAAAATCCTACACATGCTTCAAAACCTCATCAAATATCACTTGTATTTTACATCTATTAACTGAGCAGCTATCACAGCTGTGCTAGCATTGTTCTAGGGCCAGGGATTCTGGGCAGGCTGTGGGGAAACACTCCTTTGACTAGAATGAAGTCCTGGCCATCATGGCATTGACATTTCTTCTAGGCTCTGAATGCCCACTAGAGTCAGTGGGGAAAACACTGGGGCATGGAGACCCACCCCAGGCAAGCAGATCAGCACTGGAGCCGTTGAGGCAGGCTGGGGCAGAATCCATGGCCTAGCCAGAGGGTGCTTCAAGTGAGTAGGCTTCCTCTAAGTAAGTTCCTTAGAATTCCTGAATTCAAATAACACTGAGGGGCAAAGAGGAGGAGACTAGCATTCGCAGAGTGGGTACTCTACATATGCTTTTTTATTTAGACTACAGAGAAAATGAAAAAGATGTATGTGTACACTTCTATACACACAAAACATGCTCTCTTTATTTTTTTTGAGTTCATTTTGAGAGAGAGGGAGCACACGGGGCAGGGGTAGGGGGGGCAGAGGGAGGGGCAGAGAGAAGGATAGAATCCCAAGCAGGGGATCTACCATCCCACCATCCATACAAGAGCCTGATGCAGGGCTCAAACTCATGGACAGGGAGATCACGACCTGAGCCAAGATCAAGAGTTAGATGCTTGACTGACTGCCACCCAGGCGCTCCACATACATGCTCTCTTCTTAAAATCATTTTTAAAGTGGTAGATTGTGAATTTCTTGTTTTTAACCCCTTTTTCCCCTTCAATTAAAAAAGTGCTTGACGTTATTTAGAGGTAAGATACCCAGGGAGGATATCTTGCTCAGAGTCGAACAGCAAATCAGTGGAAAATCCCAGACTCAAATCCAAGTTAGATCCTAGCCAAGAGCCTGCGCTCAGTCCTGCCTGACCTCCCAGAAAGGAGTGCAGGATCAGAACCACTCAGACAGCTGGGAGGAGGCCCTTAGGAACAGGACATGATGGAGCTAGGGCTTGGCCCAGGCCCTGATTCTCTGATTCTCTGACGGAAGGAAATGTGGTGCTGTGACTTTTACTGGTTGGAAGAGCAGAGGGAGGGGCCTTGGCAGAGCAGAGGCCTCCCAGACACAAAAGGGCAGGTCTTCTTTAGTGTGCTTTATTCTGGGGAACTGCACGCTTCTGAGAGGGTCTTGGAGCTGAACAGCTGAGGAGGAACAAAAGCCTGGGGCAAACTTACCCCCTCAACACACTTACACAGGTCATTCTCCTCTTGAACTGCTGACCCTCCCTTACCACCTAGAGGTAGAACCAGGCCTGAGGACACTTCTTTCCTTTCTCTCCTCGTGGGAGAAAACCAGCGACCACACCTTTAGATCGAACAAACTGACAGATGTATGTCTCCAGGCAACCCCTAACTAAACACCCAGGAAACGGAAACCAAAAGCCCAGGCATCACAGGACATACTGCCTCCCACCACCTACAAAGTACTAGCTTATACAAGTTAGGAGATGAGGCTTCTGGTTAACTAAATGAAAAAGGGTGCCCACACTGTGTTAACGGGAAGTGTTGGCAGTTGTAGATGTGGATAATACTTGATCCAATCCCCCCAATGAGCAGATGAGAAAACTGAGGCTCAAAGAGGGCAAGGCTTCAGCCTGAGATTACGTTTCCAGTGAATTCCCATGTGATTAAATACATGCATTTGATACCTCAACCCTCCAGGTCTTTGTTGATAAGATCTGATTGCAGGACCTCATTCTCCCAACTGCAGATACACAGGGGAACACATTCAAGTTCAGTGTTCCTTTAAATGATGTCAGATAACAGCTTTGGCAATTTCAAAGCCCCAACATCAAACCTCAAACCGGAATTTTAATTGGTTACAAAACAAACGACCATATTTCCTGGATTCTAAGACACTACTGACTTTAAGTTATACCATTGATTTGGCAAGACCTTTCTCAGAAACAAAAAACCGACCACTACTTGAAATGTACATGTCAACTGAAAGATCTGTTTTGACTTTTAAAACCTTAAATTGGGAAAAAAATGAGGAAATAAAGTCATTTGAGTGGCTTCTCCACCAATAGCAGAGGAGTTTAAGCCACCTGGAGATGGTGAAAAGAAGACACTAAAGGTCTGGTTGTACCCAGAACTCAGCACACCACATGCTCTGTAATTGCAGGTAGATTTCTCTTTAAGCACAGGATGTGCTCTTGAAAAGTTGCAGGCTTCCTTTATTTAAAACAAAAAAGTTCACATATCCTTCAGTCTAGTCAGTCAGGATCTTAAAAGACATCTGATCAGCCTGGTATAGGAATCCCTTCTACGACAGGTAAGCCCCTTGCCCTCTTTGAACCTCAGTTTCCCTATATGATTGGAATGATCTGCATTGTGAATTGATCCTCAAAGGAAGCCCAGAAAAGAGCCATGAGATGAAGATAGAGTCAGGGGTGTCCCTGCAAACAGCATGATGGTGTAGAGGCTATCTGAGGTGGTTTCTTCCTGACAGTGGAAGGAGAGCATGAGTCAGTTTCTAGTGACAAGGAAGCTGACCAAATGGCCAGTTTAAGGGATCAAATGGCTCACTGGGGATGCTTCAGGTCTGAGAGCTTCACTTACTCTTCAGAAAACCCCTCTTTCTTTCAGGTGGCTTGAGGGACTCTCTGCAATCAAAAGAGCCTAATGAGACCAGTCTCTAGTGGCCCAATCTATGCTGGAATTCTGCCAGGGATGGGCCTCATTATCACCAGGTGAAGCCACCCTATTGTTGAAATTTCTAGTGCTAAAAGTTTCCTTCCTCTGTAATGCCAAAACTTTCCTGGCACCGTCTATCTATAATCTCAACACCCCCTTTTAAGGCTACACAAATCTCAGCTAGACCAGTCTCATACCAGGCACACACATACTTAGCCCTTGTCACCGTACCATCCTTACCTAGAATGTCCCTTCTTCTCCCCTCTCCAAGTCAAAGCAACTCTTTCAGGGCCCAATATAACAATAAAAACCACAACTGCAACAATACCAGCAGTAACAGTAGTTACCATTTATACATAATTTTCTACTTACCAATTTCTTCCTAAAAGTGTTAAATACATTTTCCTCATGTACCTTTCATAATAACCCTACCATAATATCATTCTCTTCATTTTCCAGAAGTAGAATCCAAGACTTAGTAAAGTTTAGTGACTTACTTAAGGCCAAATAGCTGGAAGAGACAAAGCTAGGACTCAAACCCGGGCCTGCCTGACTCCAGAGTCCATGCTCTTGACCCTTGTACTGTACTATACCCCTCTGGTCCTACAGGTCAAGCCATCAGCCTCCACATGGTGTCCACACCTGCTTAGATCTCCAACCTGAAGACTTTTATCTTGACTTAGAATACCATTTCTCACAACTTTTAAAACTGAGACCCACAATAATAAATACATGATATATTGAGACTTTATACACACACACACACACACACACACATAACTGAAACACATTTTATGAAATAATTTACTCTTTTTTAAAGTTTATTTATTTTGAGTGTGTGTGCACATGCACATGCTTGTGGGAGAGGGCAGAGAGAGTGAAAAGAGAGAATCCTAAGCAGTCTCCTTGCTCCTGCATCGGCTCAGCACTCAATCTCATGAACCACGAGATCAAGACCTGAGCCAAAACAAGAGTCAGATGCTTAACCAACTGAACCACACAGGCACCCCAAAATAATTTACTCGTACATGCACTCTGAAATTTTCAGTTTAATTCTATTCTATTCTATTCTATTCTAATTATATTCTGTTCCTGAGAGAGAGAGAGCGTGCACGCACAAATGAGCAAGGGGCAGAATGACAAAGAATCCCACGAGGGGCAGTAAGAGAGGAGGAGAGAGAGATAAGCAGGGTTCACCCAAAGTGGGGCTCAAGTTTACTTGATGCAGGACTCAAGCTCACGAACCATGAGATCATGACCTGACCCCAAGTCAGATGCTTAACAAGTGAAACACCCAGGTGCCTCCCCCCTTTGTTTTCTTTTAATGCGTGTCCCAATCCCCTAAAATTGATATCAGCAGTAATTCACTAATGAATCAAGACATGAAATTAACACTTCATTACACCTTGCTCATATTGCTTAGTACTGTCTCTCCCTAACTAGACTGGGTCTTCAACTTCTGTAACTCCCACCAAACACCTCACAGATAGTCAACACATGCCATGACATCATTACTTTCATATGAATTGTATTCAGGTCTACAAGCCACTGCTGCCTACAGCAATTTTATTTGTGCCCCTAATAGCTCAGTGAAGTGGATCCCTCCTTAATTAATAGATGAATTACTGTTTCCATTTGGCCCTTGAGAAATCTGACCCAATCAGAGACATTATTAGACTTGGGCAATGTCACAAAGCTATTAAGTTAAGTGGCAGAACCAGGGCTTCCCCTCTACCACAGTGATCCATGT